TTGTACTACATCCTCTGCCATGATGTTTTTGCGTCAGATTTAGCCAATCACAGACTAAAACTTTGAGCCAACCAAAATAAACCTTTCCTTCCTTTAATTCTTCTATGTCAAGTATTTTGTCAGAGCAATAAAAAACAGACTAATACACATACCAAATTAAATACAATTAACGCATTCTATGCAAGTAGAAAGGAACATGGGAATAGAAAAGTAAAAGAACATGGTTACAATTAATGTAGATTTATTGCTATTAACAGGAATAATACTTATAATTATTAGTTTGGGATTTTGCAAAAATTTATATAGTCATAATTTGTGTTTTCACTACCTGCTCCTAACTACCTTCTACTAACCTATTTCATACTCTTTTTGCCCTAAACAGTCACATTAGCTGGCCAGGTTTCTCCACCTGCTTTGATGACACTATCTTTATGTCTAGAGTATGTTAGCCAGTAGTACTCTTGCTTGTTTAGGTGGCTATAATTTTCCACTGTTTTTAATTTTAGGGTATTGGATTAGAAAGAGGCATCTCTGATGAACATTGGCAATACAGAACCTCAGTTTGTGTAGCAACGAATAATCTTCTTGGTATTTAATATTTATCAGTCTAATTAGATTCATTCATAGGAAAATGGATAAATATTGAGGATATACTCTTAAGTGAAATACATAAGCCACACATGTGTAAATACTGAATAGTTTCTCTGGTGTGAATAAACTATAATAGGACATAAGATCCTAATGATATAATGGACCACGTGAAATAGGAAGAAAGTGGATAAAGGTGTAGGGAAAGTGGGAAGGGAAGGGGAAAGCTAATAAGGGAAAAGAAAAAAGTATGAGAAAATGAAAAAATGGAAATGAAGTGTTTGTGAAAGGGGAGAGGAAGAGGGGGTGAAGGGAGGGCAGGGACAAGGGGAAAAATGAGAACTAAGACCTGTCATGTAAAGGTACAAGATCCCAATAATGAATGTAACTGTACCGTATACCTAAAATGTAAATAAACCCAATGAGGAAAAAAAAATATTTACCAGTCTAACACTACTATAGTTCAAGTGTTTCCTTGTTTGTTCAGTGGGATTGGTTGTCCAAAGTGTCAAGTGGCAATCTCAAGTACAAATTTATTGAAAGTTTTGCTACAATCTCTAATGTAAACATTCAGTCATTTCAATTAAGACCTTTGCAACAAGAAGGTCCAGGTCACAGGGTAGAATCAAGAATGTTCCTAGTGACTCATTAGGAGAATAGTGAAAAGAACTGTGCACCATCAATCTTGGATTCCCACAGTATCTGTGACTCTAGACGGAAGATAAAGCACCAGATTCTGCGCACTGATTTAAATTATATTCCACATCACAGAAATTATGGCCTAGCAATTAAAATATTGTCAAGTAATTGGTTCTGTTACTGAGTCCTCAAAAAGACATTGCAGTCTCTATTAAGTCAACTGCTTCAGCATAATGGGAAACATGACAAGGCAAGTGAATCTCATCAGTATGAAACCATGCCATATTTTGTCATGACATTAATTGTTTAGTCACAAGGTACCGTGTGTAGAATACCATAACGATGGATAAAGCAGATGGTAAGTTTTGCCCAAAACATTGCAGGCATGGAGGGTAAAGCCACATTTAGATCATTGTGTATTTTTTTCTCTCATTAACTTTATTGGTACATTTTAGGTATTAGAATTATTGTGTATTTTTATGAGAGCAGATGAGGCCCCTTTCATGATGGAAGTAATAAAGTTAAAAAACAAGCAGGTTTCTGGTTTATAATTGGTGCCATATAGGAATTTTGGTATTGTTGTCTATTGAGGAACTGTGCCATATAGGAATCTCAGTATTGGTTTCTGTGAGGTTGTAACCACATCAGCCTTGATGAGTGTAGGTCCATGTTTCTGATTCCATGCTTAAATTTCATGACATGAACCCTTCCTTCATGAGTCCATGGAGCAAAGACAAGAGTGTATGGGAAAGAGACTGACTGACATCCATAGTCATCTTAGTCACCTAATTATTAAAATTTTACTCTACCGAGGTTGCTTTTAGTGAACATTCACATAGGGCACATACGTCCTCAAACTCTGCCCATTTGCAGAGATCTGCATGTATGCCTCTTCTCTACACCTCTTTACTACCTATTTTACAATCATGAGCTTTCTAAGGGAAATCCATCCAAATCATTAACCAATGTCCATGAACCAAAGTAGATTTATAACTCTCTTTCCAACTCCTTCTTCATAAAATGAGCAAAGTTCTCTGAAATTCCTATTAAAAGTGTATATAATAATATCCTCTAAGCAATATTCTTCTATATTGAGGTTAGTTGTAGACATTCATGCTTTTGAAACCAAGTACTATGAAATATACAGACATTGATATTAAGAGGTTGAAGAAATCGTGGCACTTTGAAGCTGATTATCTGTTCTGGAGAGCTAAAGGCAGTTAAAAACCCCATTTGTGTGCCTGAAGGAAAATATGACAGTCCATGGAATGACGTCTAAGTGGCCCTCTGAAGTGGATATCCTTTGTGAAGCATAGCATTGTAATATCTCGTTGCTTCCACAAGAAATATGAAAGAAATAAGGATTTCAAACATTGTGTGATAAAGTAGAAGATTCTTGTGGCACAAGAAAGCTTTTAAAAAGAATGACAGGCTTACTTACAAATAAACAATTTTTTTCCTTCAAAAAGAAAGAATGACAGTCTCAGTAGCCTAAGTTTTTGGCTCAAGTACTCAAGGAAAATACTAAAATTACACAATGTCAAGATAGAATTTATTTAAGTGCAACTGGAGGGCTACATAAGCTAAAATTTATATTTAGCATTTGATTCTGTGACTAACCAAATTTCAGAATTAGTTGATTTTCGAGCATTGATAGGTCACTTTTATCAATTCAATAAAATAAAAAAATAAGAAGAACTAATGCATAAAGAAACTGAAAGAATTAAAAGAACTGTAACACCAAATCCCCACTGAGTCTCCCTTGCCAGCAGAAAAAAAAAATCTCTCTTTTAGTCTGATAAGGCTGTTTCTCCTCTTTAAAAAGACCCAGTATTTTATGTGTCTGTGAGATTTAAATTACAAGAGCCAATTGTTCTAATTTCACCATTAAATGACATCGCCTCATTTTTCACCAGACTAGGGTGCACGGTCAAGCACCCAGGCAAATCAAGTGGAAAAGTGGTTACATATTAAAGAATCATCTTCCACATTGTATTCTTCAGAGTTAAAATAATACTGGTACTATGCCTTCGAGCCCTAGGACTGTTAACTAAATAATCTCTTTTCCTTGTAAAGTTACACAGACTTGGGAATTTTGTTGTAGTAACATAAAACAGACTAATATATACCTTTAAGTTTCACTTGAAACAAAAACCATGATATAGGGATTATTATCATTTCTACTTCAGAGGTGACTAAATTGAAGTTTATGGGTATTAAATAATTTGCCTCAAATTACAATTACTACATAGCAGAGACATGACAGGAGTGTAAGTGTAGTGCTTCTGACTCTGTAGCATAGCGTATTGCAAGGGAAGCTGCAAGGGGAAGTGCGCCTTTCTTTTATATCAGAGACAAGCCCTGTAGTTGCTAATAGTTTCTAGCTAAGCTAAGGTGAGTCAGAAGCTACACATAACAACCTGTGCCATTGTCTGACTATGCCACCAGAGGGCACAGGTTTGGAAATTTTCACTTTAGATATTTTTTTTTCCTGCTATAATTTAGAGAACAGACAATAGGCTGAATTGCCAGGACTGAATATGAACTGACTTGGTAGTCAAGAGACCTGAGCTTGCCACTGCCTTTCTGTGGGACCCATACACCCATAACAATCCCATATGTGAGACATGCCCTATCCTATTCAATTTGGGCAGTGGGTGCCAAGTGGGCACAAAGACCCCTTGGATCCAGGACTGATACTTACTTCCAATTCACTTGCGAAGTTCCAGTGAAGAACATGGTATTTTCCTCACAGTGTAAGAGCTCAATGTATGTTTGGTTGAGAAGGAACATTGGAACAGCACAGTCACTCTCTCTGTAATCACTGTACTGGCAAAATTCCTCCAGTGGCTTCCCAATGGTCTGAGCGTGAAGTCTGCACTATTTGCTCTGCACCTAAGTCCCACAACAGACTGCACCAATGCTTAACTCAAACTGGGTTCTGTTCCTTGTGCCTGCCAGATGCATATAGTGAGTATGTCCTTAATGTCATCCCAAAGCTTGCAATCAGATGATGCCGCAGGGCATGTCTTGCACATAGTCAAGAATCACTATTTTGCTATCACTACTATTACTACTGCTGCTACTACTACATACTATTCCATCTAGAAACAGACTGAACCCAGTGTTCTTTGCTCCTGCTGCTTTTTTGTACATAATTAATAAACACTTGATCCTGGGTAGTGGAATATTCTATTCCACCTTCCTTGATTCTTTCTCCACCCACTTTTGGGGTCCTTTGGCCAAGGGAGAGTACAGGAGATTTTGGAAATCAGTGAACAAATCAGGATTTCTTCCTGGGGAAACAGAAATGCGTATAGTGTCATGATTCTAGGGTTAGAAACTACATTTGGCATCACATACTTCACTGGCATGTAAATCATTTCTATATAACCTATTAAGGAGGCTCATTTAGGTTCTGGCCATGTTTACCTTTCCCTCAAAAGCTGCCAGATCCAGGTTTTGATGGTGATAACGGTATTTCTCTTGCCACCTTTTGGCACTTTTATTCATAGACGTCATTCTCTCTACACAAGAAATTTTTTCTGGGATAAACCTGGACCCTTCCAATTCTGACAATCTTCTTTCTCATTTGTTTATGATGAAGGATGTGTCAGACAAAGTTGTCACCCAAAGTTCAAACCTTATCATTTTGGTCGTGCTTTTATCTTCTTGGCCTTGGTTCTCTGCATCAGCTTGGAAAACATCATCCCAAGGTTCATGTGAGGGTTAATTTGTAACTAAATGTGCTCTGATTTTGCAATAGAGGGCATGTTATAAAGACAAAAAGGCACTGCTTTCTGAGAAGTGCGAGTGGCTTCTTTGGCTTGTGCTGTAAGTACTTTTTTTGTTTCTTTGGGAACTTTGAACATCTGTATCAGTAAGCCAAAATCCAATCTAATTGTGAGCTCCAAGTTTCTAGGTCTAGGGGCCAAGGTATAAGTTTGGTCATCTGATAATTATGGTCACTTCGAACTAGTCTTTATGACTTTTACAGAAAGGGGACTCAGGTGACAAGGAATGGTAGTGAAAGTGGTAGTAAAAGAAAGGAGAATGAAATGGAGAAAGCAGGAGACAGTGTGACCTGCTAGGAGCAAAGCGTTAATTGTACCTGTGAACTAAGACAGTAGCAGTAATGATGGAGAAAAGAGTGAAGTTTTCAGATAAACTCAGGTGATATTCACTGGGCATGATGATTCATTAGAAGTGGTGAAAGAGAACAGAGGAGGCCCTTGAATAGCTCCCAGGTTTCTGGCCTGGGGCTCTCCACAGACAGTTCTGCAATAGCCAAAGATGTGGCATGAAGGCGAAGGAGCAGGCTTGAGAGGTGGGAATATGATATGTTTATGTTTAAACTTTGCAACTTCTGACTTGACACTTAGGCATGAGGGGACCTTCCTCATGGCTGTATCCATTAGGCATCTGGGTAGATGGTTAAGAACACAAGAAAAATTGGGGGTGGTGCAGCACAGCTACAATTATAGTATTCTGGGAGGATGCAGCAGGAAGATGGCACACTTGAGACCAGCCTGGGAAACTTAGTTACTTTGGTATTCTCTGTCAATAAATAATAAACAGTGAGAGTGATATTGCTGAGTTCAAAGATTCTAGGTTCAATCGCCAGTTTTTGAAAAATAATAAAAAGAAAGAACTCAGGAGAATGATATAGACTAGCAAGAAAGAGTTTCGTGATAGGAGTTGAATCCCAAAGTAGAAGACTGAGGGTTAAGGAAGGATCCTTGTCTTGCCTTCATATTTGTTTTCTTTCTAACCACTTGTTCATGCTCACTGGGGATTCCACAGCTGACCTTCCAATTCTGATTCCTTGTACTCTTCCAGAGCCAAAGATGTTTATATCACATCTTTTTGGTTTCTCTAATACTTAAAAAAATGACATGCATGGCATTAAGAATAGTGTTTAGATATCTTCTAATTTAGAAACCACTGTGGTACAGAAGGTAAGAGAGATATAAAACACATAATGATGCACTCTCATTTGCTTATTGTTTGAAGGTATTCCCATGGCTTCCATGCCTTTTTAAAATATACAAATTTTAGTTCATGACTTTGGACATGGCTCTGTAAAACACTATCCTGCCATTCCAACCACTAATCTTATACAAAGTTTTCTCATTTTGTCTTTTATCTAAGGAAAGTACAGATGTTTTCTCCTTTCATGTCAAAGATGTTACCTGAAGGAAATGCAAAATTAACTTACACACACACACACTCAAAAATTCTAATCTCCATGTGATAATGTAAGCAGAAGGAGTGCTAGTTTTAAGTAAATATTCTTCCTTTATTAAAAGTTGCATCTATATAAAATAAAAAGGGATTTAATGTCCATATATTAAATCTATTCAAAATATTGCCATTTGTTGTTTTTACATCTTAATGAGAATCCAAGGCATTATTTCTTTGGCTCTGGCAAGCCATTTCTCCTAGTTCCTGCCACCAGTGGATGTGGCATCATGTTTTTAGGGAAACGAGAGACCACCCATTCCTTGATGATCACATCATCAAACATTTGCTATTGTTTTAATGATCAAGGTGATTTCTTATGCCTGAAACAGAGAGTGTTTCATTCAGTTAAGATTACCCAATGGTTCTCTCCCTTCATCTCTTATAGATTACCTTCATTCCAGAATGTCACTCTTCTTGTATCTGATTCATTTTTTACTTGGGCTTCATGCTACAACCAATGGTGCACCACCTAGGAGCTCTGAAGGCAAAGTACCTACATGCTATTTGCCACAACAAAATGACACTCTCTATAAAATGTCATCTATCAATGCTGATTTTGCATTCAACCTGTACCGGAAGTTCACTGTGGAGACCCAGGATCAGAACATCTTCTTTTCCCCCGTGAGCATTTCTGCAGCGTTGGCTATGCTTTCATTTGGAGCTGGCTCCAGCACCCAAACTCAGATCCTGGAAGTCTTGGGGTTCAACCTCACAGATACTTCAATGGCAGAGATACAGCAGGGCTTCCAGCACCTGATATGTTCACTGAATTTTCCAAAGAAAGGACTGGAATTGCAAATAAGAAATGCCCTCTTCATTGGGAAGAAGCTGAAACCATTGCCAAAGTTCCTGGATAGTGTCAAGACCCTATATGAGACTGATGTGTTTTCTACAGACTTTTCCAATGTTTCTGCAGCCCAACAAGCAATCAATAGTCAGGTGGAGAAGCGAACTAAAGGGAAAATTGTGGACCTAATCCAAGACCTCAAATTGAATGCCATCATGGTCCTGGTGAACTATATTCACTTTAAAGGTAAGGGGCCAAGATATCAGCTGCAAGTCTAGACTTCAGATACTTTAGTAGAGTTCTGGGAGGAGCTCATAGTCTCTTTTACAAGCATCAGTAGGCTTCCCTCATATCACAGTGATCTACTCCAGTGGACACAGCTCTGCGGTATATTGGATAATCCCGGAGATACATATGGCTCTGTGAATGAGTCCAAGAGATTTCTAGGGAGAGCACACTTTCAGAGAGAGAGAAACAAAGAGATGTGGGTGACAATGGTATGAAGATCCTGCTCATATTTGGCTAAAGAATTATTGTTTCCAAAATATTTGGTGAGGTAGGACAAATTTGTACTTGACAAGAAGACAGGTTTATATCTAAGTATTACTTGGCTTTCACTTGTGCACATTTGGCATGCTACATCAATACTTTTATCATGTATTAATAGCCACTATGTAACAAATACTATGATACTTGTGTAATTTACACACGACGTCCATCCAACCCTCACAAGCACCCAAATTTATGTAATCCATTTCAAAACTACTATTTTCAGCCAGGTCTAAAGCTGGTGTTTGTAAAGACAAGTATCATGTGATTTTTTGCCGGTGCTGTGCACAAATTATTTCTCTTGCTTCTACAGCACATGTCAGTAACACTTGGTAGGGAAATGGAAGAAAAGATTGGTTTTCTCATTTTTCTCTTTGTCTTGGATATCCATATAGATTTTTTATGGGAGAGGAAACTGGCTCTGACTGGCTTAGGTGTAATTTAAGAGGTTTTGAGCATGGACTGGAATCCAACAGCCCTAGATGTGCCCCCTAGCTCTGCTGCCTGCTAACTGGGAGGCCTGTCAAGTGACTCTATTTCCCTGATCCTCAGTTATTCACCTGTAAAACTGGTTGAGAGTACATACCTCTGTGGTAGTCTTAATTACTAAAGGAGGTGACTAATGGAAAAAACTCTCGGTGGCCCTAATACTGGTTTTAAAGAAGCAACTCTATTCTCTTTGTATTTTAAGCACAGTGGGCAAATCCTTTTCATCCATCCAAGACAGAAGACAGTTCCAACTTCTTAGTGGATAAGACCATCATAGTGAAAGTGCCCATGATGCATCAGGTAGAGCAATACCATTACTTGGTGGATATGGAACTGAACTGCACAGTGCTGCAAATGGACTACAACAAAAATTCTCTGGCTCTCTTTGTCCTTCCCAATAAGGGACAGATGGAATGGGTCGAAGCATCCATGTCATCTAAAACACTGAAGAAATGGAACCGCTTACTACAGAAGGGGTAAATGATTTAGAGGACGTGAAGGATAGAGATGGGTATACCAGTGCAGGTGGCATTGAGTTCAGCAGAAACTCAGAGGCAGAAGAATTCCCCTGAACTGCCTAACAGATGTGTAAATATTATTAGAGTATACAAAGTACATATCATGTACCAGGTCCTTTGCTCTAGACTTTGCTTATTGCCTTTCATCTAAGCACATTGACAAATCTGAAAATGGTGCAGTACCATTGGTGTTTTTCTAAATAGAAAGTCAAGCCTAGAATATAAAATGAGTTCTCCAAAGTTATACTGCTAAGAAATTGAAGCCTCCCTAGCAATCATCTAGAACTTTGGGGACAGATAAGATTTTAATATTAAGAGTTGGGTAGGCAATCATTCTGAGCTGAGAGTAGTAAAGCTATGTATTGACTTTCTTGCCACTGGGCTCATACCCTTGGCAGCGCCACAACAAAATGTTCCTTTTTGATAATAAAAGAGTTACATGCACATTTTCTCAGTGTTATAGCCAACACTGGCTGAACCAGAGTGCATTTCTTCTAAAAATTTCTTCTACAATAACTTCTGTGGTTTTTGTAAAATAGGTTGATCTATATAGCAATGTTTGTCAATATTCAGCAGGGGAGCAGAGTGAAATAAATTGCTGGGGGGGAGATAGGAGAGAGAGGGGGGAGAGAGAGAGAGAGAGAGAGAGAGAGAGAGAGAGAGAGAGAGAGAGG